GCGAACACGTTTCGATAGAACATTTAAAGATATCCGGGCGCCAACCGGCCTGTCGGGCGTAAGGAAAAGAAACTGCATTAGAGTAATGAACAGATGGTTGACGTTTTCGAATTGCCGCCTTTTCAAGCGGTAAAGCGGAAGACGGTGTCAGGCGCTCGATGAACTGGTACATGAAGTGCTTAGAGTAGAGGGTATAATTGACGAAGCCGTCAAGTTTGGTGTAGAGAAATTCAAAAAGGTAATGACGCAAATTTTTGCCGCATCGACAGTAAAAAATCGTGAGTTTTCAAATGCGGCGAGAAACGGCATCAAGATTTGGAAACGTGTGTAAGATATGAAGTGTCCCTGGCAATATAGATGGCGAAAACAAAGGAAAAACGAAGCACAGGCAAAAATGCTTTCCTGTCTCTTGTTATGCAGTGCACTAACATCCAATGGCGGAAATAACGAGATCAGAAAATGTACCTCTCCACTCGAATATGAAATCTGTACTACAATAAAATAAGCATATTCGCTTACCTTAGCTGCTCGATGACCACGCGCAGTTGGAGACCTGAGAGGAGAGCGATCAGCAAACGATAATAAGTCACAACAACAAAAACAAAGTAATCACTTACCGATGAGCTCATAACGGAGGCGAACCCGGTCGTGGGGAGAGTCGACGTTTACCAACAGGGCGTTCAGGAATTTAAAAAGGACAGTGGTGTAACGGGCATTGTCCTTTGAAAAAATTAGTTCGTCAATGAGGGGCTGAAAGCGGTACCTAGCGTTGCAAGCGTCCTGCAACAGGTGGGTCACAAAAAAACTGGACAAGTCGGTTGCCACTGTCCCTTACCTTCCACTGATCGACTACGTTCAGCACGTGGTCGATGCCGCCATTCATATGACAGGCTTTTGCCAACGCGGTTACGGCTACCAGCTTCTCGTCCGGTGTTCCATGGGCCAATTCTGAAACGAAGAGAACGCGTTTCGAAAGGCCGCCGTGCGAGTGAATGGACTTTCGCCTACCCTTGGCTGTGACGGCTGCTCCCTGGCCCACATCCATGATTCGGTCGATTGCTTCCAACAGCATTTCACTGTCCATGTTGACGACGGTGACACCGGATTGCCGGGATACACGGCTGTTGTTCTGTCCTGTCTTTGTGGGTGCCGCCGCGATACAACTGTCGATGAGCGCCAATGGCGGCTGATACCAAAGCCGCTGTGATCAGGCACCACTCTGCAATTGGTCGAAGGGTGGCTGGCGGCTCGTCGCGGAAGCGGACGAAAGTGCTTTTTCGCGGACGCACAAAACAATCGATCGCTGCGCCACCTGGTGTCGAACCGTGGCCCGGGCGACCAACAGACCACAGAAAGCTAGTCGTCGTCGTCGTCGACGACGTTCGTTCGTTCGTTCGTTATTTGCTAAATCAACAGCGGCAGACGCCACATCGGCGAAGAACGAACGAACGACAGGCGACAGCAGTGATACCAAAACCAAAACCACCACATAGCTTCGTCTGCCCATCCGTCCGTCCGTTCGTCCATCGGCGTGGTGGCGGTGTAACGGCGGCAGCTCACCGTCCCGGAACGGTGGCAACGCCGTGTCCATCACCAGAACCAGTTTGGCGACCGTATAACAAGGCCACCGATGGCCCGGAGGGGAGAGGACGGCTGGCGGGCGCAAAATGGGAAGTGTGCCACAACCGACGCACAGCCGGTGCGAGCCGTCCCTGGGGGCTGACGCCAGTTCATCGCAAATCCGACTCACCTGCTAACCGTATGCTCCAAGACCATCCCTATTGGCTAGCAGTTGCCACTTGTAAGAGACTCGATCTAGAATTCTGCCTAGGCTTGTGTCCATGAAAAGGTCATGCACTAGTAGGTAGAGGTCTATTGGAAGAAGCATTCTGTATTCGGGTTCTTTCTTCCACTTTTGTTTGCAAAACAGATCCGCACCAAGCACTTCTCACGGATGACTATTTTTCCCTCAGAAACAATTCTGCATCGTCTGTGTATAATCAGAGACTCCTAATTATTGAGAATGTATTGCAAAACGGTCTTCCAGGAAAGTGGTAGCGTGATGAAAAAACCAACAATCGATTTTAAGCATGCCCTTTAACATGTCCATGCTCACTCGCCGTGTCTCTTAATCACCATTTAGGCACTTCAGCCTATGACGTTCATATGATGCATACGCAAGCCGTTCACATATGCGATTCACTACTAATTAGATGCTTTGACCAGCACCACCGGCACCGTTGAATTCCAGCCCATATCTATTATTGTCAACGTATTCGTTAGCTTAGAGATCTGACTAGCTATGGTGCAAGAATTTAAACATATTAGATATGCTGAATTTTCTGTTTATTATAGTGGTTAGATTTTGCTAGTGCATAATAACTATTTTATGAAGTACTTTTTACCCTAATCTAAAAGCACTCCTGTGAGATGTGACAAAGGGATTGTAAATGATGCGTTGTTCTCTTCAAATGCAAAGTCAAAGGTCATATATTAATCGTCCATATGGAAAGGGACGAATATATGAAAATACGAGATTTGGAGACGAAACATTTGCCGTTTATGGCATCCTCCAAAGCTGACCTCAACAGTGCATTCGAAATCTGTAGAGGAACACGTGAGTTGGCTGGCATTGGAATATACACATGCAAAAGTGAATCGCTAATGCTGTCTTAATTTTCCAACCGCTTGCACTGCTCTTATGAGGGCTTTCACTGAAGCAGGCAAAGTTCAACCGACTGCACATGGAGAGTGCCAGTGACGGACGAAAAGAGGATAAGATTTATGGGTGAATAGGAATGACTAGATGAGTTCTCCGTGTACTATTCGAGTGTACTATACAAAACCTTCGTTGCCAATGTTTATGTCTAAAAACTAAGTCCATAGTTAGTCTATCCGTTTTCAATTCAGATTTCATCCCCATGTTCATTTCTGGTTTATTAGTAATTATTTATAACGACAGAAAACTCAAGTGCTCGAAACAGGATAAATCGTGGGCTTTTAGTGCTTCGACAGACTTTCTTATCGTAGCTGTTCTGGAAGCCCTTGAAATCGAACCGTTACTGCTCATGCAATTGAAAAGTTGTAAATGTGATAGATTTTGCCATGACCATTAAAGCGAAGTGACCAAGAAGCTATTCATTTTTTGACGACCTCAGAGGAAGCTTCGATTACACTCCCATTTCATCAACTCTGATCGGTCATGATACCCTTCAGATATAAAGTGAAGGCAAACCATTTGAAATTGAAGGGTTAAAGGCTGTTTCAATATTTTGTGTTATTACAGTAATTTGGTTATTGTGCCATTTGTTGGTCTGGACTTCATTATGGCTTTCTACTTTGAGCTTTGACATGATGACTGTTGCATGTTTCTCGTCAGCGGCTGACAAACACGCGGCAGCCAGTTGCCACTAATCGATTTCGCAATTGAAGCTAATCTCCTTTCTCTTGCATACATTTCCGTTTGAAATGCCTGACATTCAAGCACATGACATACCTCATTTTAAGTATTCTTTTCAAAGATGCAGCTACTGCCTCTATTCCTCAAAACATGACGACGTCCTATGGACATCGATTGGCTATCGACGGCAAATCCTCTGAACTCGACGACACAAAAACTGATACTACGGTTCAGTGGAGGGCCACACGCAGAGGATACATCAATTTCACCGTTAAACGTCAGGGCTCGCTTTGGTGCTTCCTGGATAAGTTACGGTTGACGAAAACGCGACACTTACGTAAACTCATATATTTTATGAAATTTTCGTTCTCCATGGAAGCAGCAACTTTTCAAAGATTTTTCTCATCATTTCTGAGGTTGGAAGTTTCACTAGAGTACGGTCCAAAAAATAACAAGCACGGTACAAAAGTTGCAAGCCGAAATGTCCAATATAACTTGTATGTGTATTGTTCCAACACAGCTGCCTCCAACTGACCCTTCTATACTCTCCAATTGACAGTTGCAAATTTTTGGTACAAATGAAATGACTTTAAAATGCTGTTATTCATTTACACAATATCGTCCATATTTATTTTTGCTATCTTCATTTTCTTCATAAATTAAGCCTCTGTTGCTATCGAGCTGTTTGATCTGTCCAGCGATGAAGGATTCTATCTTGGAAGCCCAGTTAAGATCTTGATAACAGAATCGAGTAAAATATAAATTGATTTCATAAGTTAAAGGGAATAGCAACTATATTAAGCAATTAATGGCCCATAAATAATTATTACGACTGCGATCACTGCCTAAGGATATGAAACGATCTGTCCAAATGACTGAGAAATACGTTGGTGAATTTTAGCCCTTTCCGCCATTATCCCATGATCAGGTTTAAACAATATGATGGACGACGAA